CCCACTGTGCGAAATCACTCTGTAGTATATATATATATATATATATATATATATATATATATATGTATATATATATACTCAGTTATCCAGGACTATTTTACATGCACACTTGAATACATCTGCATATATCCACACACTAAAACCTACATACATGCGCAAATCAGTAGCAGGACAACTGCCTACCAAACATCAGATAAAGAACATACATCGCCACTCTCCTTGTGGAATATATCGCCCGTGCACTCCACCACCGTCACAGCCAGCACGCGTGAGACATACGCCAGGTGCCACGGATCCATCTGCTCACTCAACAGACCAAACAGCCCCGGAACAGTGTGCAGGTCCAGTGCTCTCTCTCTATGACTCAGTGTCTCTTCCAGCAGATAGCAGCTCTCATGCATGAACCGCCTGTACTTGCACATAAGCAGTAGCGTGCAGATGAGCTCGTGGTGGTGTGCCAGTTGCACGGCCGTGTGTGGGGACGCCAGCCACCGCAGGATAGTAGCGCACCGCATGATGTCCTCGAACCGAAGATACCCCTCCTCGTTGCCATGACTACCCGGGGCGTTGCCATAGTCGCCAGACATGTTGCCATGACTACCCCCCGACGCGTTGCTATAGCTACCGGCTGGATTGGTGTCTATCAGCACACCCTGTCTTAAAGAGGGTGTGTACGCAGAGAGTTCGGGCATCTGGACCGCATTCCGTGCAATCGCCCTCACACGCTCTGTACTTCTACATGCAGCTTCCTCTTCATCTTCTATTAACTTTGTGTGTGTGTGTGTGTGTGTGTGTGTGTCGGTGTGTGTGTCTGTGTCTGTGTGCGTGCGTGTGTGTAGTTGCTGCCGTTCGTGTGCACTTTCCAATGGATATCGCAACGGCTGTGTCAGGCGCAGAAGAATACGCACAACCACTTCTACGCCGCCGAATACGGCGATGACGTCCTTGTTCAACATTCTGGGTAGTGGAATGGCCTGTGGATTTAGGTTGAGGAATTTAGGGTTAAGGGTTGGTAATTTGGATTTTAGGATTTGAGATTGGCTGGGAGTTTAGGATTTGAGAATCTGCGTTCAGGTGTAGGACTAGAATCAAACGGCTGAGTCGTCCTTGTTCAGCATTTTGGGTAGTGGATGGGCCCGTGGAATTGGGATTTGTGGTTTAAGGTTTGGGTTCTAAAATTGGAGTGTTTAGATCCGAGATATTGGGTGGGTGTAGGACTCAGTCAATGAGAATGAGAACAGGATGTGCGTGCTTAGCAATCTGGGCAACGAAACAGCCTGTGAATTTAGATTTTTAGGATTTGGAGTTCCGAGATTTAAGGTGTAGGGTTTTGGGTTTGGGTGCAAAACTAGGTTTAAAGAGTGATGACATCTTGTTCGGCATTTGAGGTACGAATGGCCTGTGGATTTGGGATTTGGGATTTGGAATTTGGGATGTAGCGTCTAAAATGTGAGATTTGAGAATCTTGAGTGTAAGCCCAAAATAGCAGAGAACCGACAGACCCTACAAGTGTACCTCAACACCTACGATGTTCCTACCCAAACCTATACTGTCTGTACAGAATGTATGCGAGTGTTTCATAACCAACCTATACTGTCTGTACAGAACGTATGCGAGTGTCGCCTACTTTATATAGAACGAGCACAGCGACTGCAACAGATAGACAAGTGTTGATACAAGCAGGCTCAACGAAGACCCACAGCCGACCTGAAAAACATATCAACTTCTGAGAAAACGTATCGATTCCTTAGAAAACGTAGCGACTTGTGTGGTGTCTATACCTCTGCATAGGGTACTGTACCCAACTCATGCTTTTAGGGTTTTATTAATACCCTATCTTATATTTCGGGGTGCAGAAAGTGTGCGATAGTCGCCTTCATCAAATAAAGACCGCCCAGACACTATAGCATGCACGCATCAACTAATTCAACTAATACACACCTGAAAGGAAGGATCAGCCATGTAGTGTATATACACACCTTAGCACGCACACACACACACACACTATAGCATGGCCAAGTGAGAACAAGCAGCAACTAGCACACGCCTGAGAGGAAGGATCAGCCGTGTAGTGTATATACACACCTTAGCACACACACACACACACACACACACTATAGCATGCACCCATCAACTACCTCAACTATCTCACCCCTGAGAGGAAGTAATAGCCATGGAGTGAATAGACACACCATAGCACACACACACACTATAGTATGCACCCATCAACTAACTCAACTATCTCACCACTGAGAGGAAGGATCAGCCATGTAGTGTATATACACACCTTAGCAGACACACACACACACACTATAGCATGTACCCATCAACTAACTCAACTATCTCACCCCTGGGAGGAAGGATCAGCCATGAAATGTATATGCACACTTTGTGGTGTGCGTGCAGGTAGTGAGATACTACCTAAGTACAATACTCTCACACACACGCACTCAAGTGTACAAACTGCAAGAACCAGCCGCTCACAAGCATCTCACACCCAACGCACACACACCTTCGCGAACATATCAGCACCTGTGGTGTCTATACCCAACTCATGGTGTGTGTACAGGCAATGAGCGGTGGTCGCCTCTTTCACACAGTACTCGCATAGCACTGTTAGCAGTCGAGTGACGTCGTCATTGCTGCACTCTTCCTCGTGTGTGCGGAGAGCCTCGATGACATCCGGGATCCCCCGATAGGCCTGGGGGTGTATGGATTAAGTATAGGAGAGGAGCAGGTTAAGAATAGAAGTGGTTGAGTTAAAGTGGGGATATGTATGGTGAAGGATACTACACAGAATTGACATTGGCATGTAGGAGTTTGGGAATTAGAAGCGCACACAATGCACAGGCGTGCTATATATATATATATATATATATATAATATACAATATCTATCAATATATATGTATGTATATGTATATATTGATATATGTATATAAAACTAGACACACAATATATATATATATATATATATATATATATATATATATATATATATATATATATATATATATATATATATATATATATATATATATATACTATA